AAATTAAAGCAGAAAGCCAGTTGGGAGAAGGAAGTACATTTTGGTTTACATGGAACATAGAGCTATTATCATCGATAACACCAACTATTTCAAAACTTTCAACTTCCTCATTATTAGAAGCACAATTTGATAAGCAAATAAACCATACATTGCCTAATTTTATAAGAAACAAACGAATACTAATAATTCACCCGGTCATAAATATGAGAAACGCAATGTTAACATATTTTAAAATTGTTGAAAAAGTTGATGCATTCGATACCATTAACGAAGGTATTAAAGCTGCCCAAACATATAAAGAACTGTATAATCAATCTGCTTATGACATAGCATTCATCGGTCTTTATGAAGATAATGAAGAAGAGGTCATAAAAGCAGCATTAAGGTTAAAAGCATTAGATATGGATAGTAATAGATTAGTTATAAGTTTTATAGTATTTCCGAGTATTGAAGGAAATGGAAAAAAATTAATTAGAAAAGTTGGGGGAACCGTTTCTGTTATTTGCACTCCAATTACGCGGAAAAAGTTAATTAATCAAGTTGTTCATCTGGAAAAAAACAATACAGTTTAACTTTTACATTCACACCCTATATTGTCACATCTCTATATAGGCATTGAATTTTATGAAGCTAACTAAAAAATTTAAAAAACCTTATTATAGTCACAAATCATTTATTATCACCGTCTTCATAAAAATTTTTATTAAGTTTATTAATAATAAACCTCTTTACAATCACTAATTTTTAACTACTTAAATACTAATGATTAAATTAATTAGTATTTATAACTATATTTGTTTATAGATACAAATAGTATCTAGGTTGATTCAGATTTAATTATATTTTAGTTAACAATTTTAATAGTCTAACAATTTATTATACTAGCTACTATGCATGTCTTTACATTCGTGCTATATAAGTTATTTTGAGCAAAGCATTTATATTAAACTATCTAATAAATAAAGAACTTATTAGTTATAGATCAGAGCAAATATTGATTATTTGACCCACTTTTGAGTAAAATATTTTTAAATTTGATCACATAATTGACAATTTCGATCAGAAGTATGTACGTATATCTAATAAGCTCTCTTATTGATTATACTACAGATTCACCATATAAAGGTGGTACGGGTATTATGGTACACTTAAGAGTTGCTAATAATAAAAATTTTTATGAAAAGCATATTTATTCACAAGATTTGTTTAATTAATATAACATTCGATTTACTATCTTATGATAAAAAAAAAAACCTACACTTTAAAAAAAAACTTGATATTCTAGACTTTAAAAAATCATTTAAAAACTGTTATGTTTTTGAGGTTGGGGGTATATGATACACTACTATTATGGTATATCGATGTAGGGTATATGGTATACTACTAACACTATGTATTACCAATATGCATATCAAATTGGGGTGTCATACGGACTAATTAATCAAAACTATGTTAGCTATATTGATTATTTCATTATAATCAAATTTTTATCAGTAAAATTAAAATAAATGATCGAATGTAATTGTACTTTACTTATTAATTATAAAGAAAAGCACAAAATTCTAAAGGCATCACATAAATATTGCACTTATTTTTCTAATTTTTTTTTTACTTGAAAACTGTTCGTCAGAACTGTTTCAAAGTAGCTATGTTTGATTTTCGCTAAAGTTCTAATTAATTTTCGATTCATATGTTTAATACAATTTTTT